CTACCCCATCACCACTGTAGAAAAAAGTGACTTCACCTGCAGGGGAAGGCGCTGGTGGAATCCTGCTACAGTTGAGGGAAGACAAAGAGGTGACCACCAGGACTTTGCCCAGAACATCTCCTCTATGTCCAAAGTAACAGTTTTCATCTGCTCAAGGATGGGCATCAGAACCAGGGCCTGAAATAGGTGGGAACCTCCTGCAGCTGGGGGAGGGAGACAAGGATTTAAAGTGTTCTATCTCTGGGGGCACCCGGGTAGGTCAGTTGGCTGAGCGCTGGGCTCTTTACTTTGGTTCAGCTCGTGATCTCTGGATCCAGCTCAGCAGGCAGCCTGCTTCAGATTCTCTTTTTCCCTCTCCCTCTGCCCCTCCCCCCACTCATGCTCTTTCTCTCTCTAAATAAATAAACAAAATTTTTTTGAAAATGAAATAAAATGTTCTACCTCTGGAAAGGAATACTTGCCAAAGCCACATCCTTAAGACCCAGTTTCACTGTCTCCGGTTAAAATTGAGACTTAATAAAAATATCAGAGTATGTCCCCTTCTTGACCTTTCACCCTCATGCTAGGAAACCTTGAGTAAAAGTCACATTGCAATACTATTGAGAGAACTTCAAGAGACCTTTCTTTGGGGAGCAGAACAAAGACTCAAAGACAAGTGAAGAGACAAAGATAAAGTACAACTGGAGAATTTTTAAGTGTCTGAACTCTGACAAAAAAATTTCAACCCTCATAACTTAGCAACAAAGACTTCAAATCCAGGCTAACTCCTGACTAGTAACACAAACACCCATGTAATGGCTAGCAGAAGGAAAGGTGTGCTCATTTTCAAGTATAAAATACATTTATCTCAGTATCTCCTATACCTTACAACATCTCCAGCTTCCAACCAAAAATTTCAGAGGCATAAAACAGGTCAAAAATAAAGATAGTCTGAGGCTACGAAGCAGTCATCATAACAGACTGAGATATGATACAGATGTTGGAACTATAGAAGAATTTAATATAAATATGATTAATATGTTAAAGACTTTAATCTAATAGAAAAGGTAAATAGTATACAAGATCATCAGACAGATGATTTCAGCAGAGAGATTTGAAGAATCAAAGGAAATGCAAAAAATAAAAAAACACAGTAGCAGAGATGAAGAATGCCTTGAGAGGCTCACCAGTGGATTTAAGAGATATAAGGAAAGAATTAGTTAACATAAAGATAGACCCACTAGAAATTACATAAACTTCAATGGAAGGACTAAAGATAGAGAAGGAGAGAAGCAGATAACCTTAACTCCTAGAAGAAGAAAACTGTAAGAACTCCCCCCCTTTCTCCCACTATCTGATTTGAACCAATAAAGAACCATAATCCTTTAGTAAGAAATGGCTTCTTTACACTAATTATCAATCAATGATAACAATCACACAGTATCGAGAGGGATATACTGATAAACTGAGTAAGCAACCCTGTTTTGCAGGATGTTTTAAGGTAAATACTGTGGCTCCCTTTCTCTGCAGTCTATGGGTCTTGGGTGTGTGTTCAGAGCACCACTTCCTCTTAGTAAATCAGCCCTCAGATTTGCTCTGTGATCAGTTCAGTATTCAACCACCTCTCCTGACAAGTGCCGGCAAGATGCTGCGCCCATCACAGGTCATCCTGCTGGCCTCCCTGTGGATCTGTAAGTGGCTTTACCCATGGGAGATTTCACTCAGTGAAGAAAAGAGATAGAAAGCATGGACAATCAAGTCAGTCACTGTGGGCAGAAGAAAGCCCAAAAGGTCATTCAACCTAGGCAAATAAATTCCACCATGACCTTGAATTCTTCAGGAAAAAAATGTAAATCCTAAACCCCTAGGTTTTCGTTAATAGAAAATAAATGTATACTATTTTAAGGAATGTCAAAATTTTGCTAATTGTTATTTTTGTTTTCCTTTCAGATACAAATGCAGAGTTTTTAATAACGCAACTTGTACCATCCATTACCAAGAAACAAGGAAACACAGCATTTTTAGAATGCCAAATAAAAGCAGGAGGCTTAAGGAATAATGTATATATTCATTGGTATCAACAGAAGCCAGACCAGCCTCTAAAACGAATTCTGTATATCTCCTCAAATGAAAATGTGGTCCACGAACAAGGGTTTAATGAGGAAAGATATGAAGCCAGGAAATGGCAGAGGGATTTGCCAGCGAGTCTTAGGATACACCGAGTTAATGAGGAAGATGCTGGGCTATATTACTGTGCCTGCTGGGATACACTGTATAGAAATGCTCCACTTCCACTGAACAAAAACCCTCCCACAACGCCACACCCCTGCAAACATATACATGCTCCTTTCTACCTCCCAGAGGGACCTGGCTATTGTCTGGACTGGACATTTCTCCTGCATCTGTGTCCTCAGCAAGGTCTGAGCTAGGACCCCAAGCCCCCAATCTGTGTTGTTTCTTTTAGTCAGGTCACCTTATCATCTATTTACCTCTCTGGGGCCTAGGTTGGCTTTTGTTAGTGACATCTGGTGTCCTAGTTAGTGTCCTTCTTCTACATCTATGAGAAGTTTCTGGGGAAGGAAGCTAAATCCAATAAGCAAAATGGTGTGCTGACTTTGAATGAATGAATTAATGAATGAATGATGGAAGATATAAGGCCTTTGAAGTAACATGGACTTGGGTTTGAACTCCTGCTCAACCTCTTAACTGACAGCATGATCTAGGAAAGTTACTACATCTTTCTCATACGGGGAAATCCTCATGATGGGGACTGAAGAAGGTTGCATGCAGGACAGGTTTAGCACAGGGTCAACACATCACTGTGTCCTTTTCCACTACAACTACACTGTTTCTCTGAGCCATCTCAGATAACATAGGAAGTCAGGAATTTTTAAAAGGCACATTTTACATTGTCTTCCCAATAATAATCAAGTTTGCTTTATTTTGAAAAGCTAAGAACTGTGAATAAGAAAAGAGTTGAGGGTAATAAACCAAAGGATGTCTTTTCACCAAGAATTTTCTTCATTCACAGCAGAAACATCGTAGCGTCTAAAGCAACAGCTGCGACAATTGTGAATATTCACCAAGCCTTGGAAATTTTTTACAAACTACTGATCTACAGAATGTACATGCTTCTAGGTAAAGTTGTGGGATTATAGTCTCATTTGTTATTACATAAAGTAATAAGATTTTTCTTCTAATTCTCACCATAGCCATATAGTTCCACACACTCTTCCAAAACATGGTGGAAAATCTCTAAGTCTGAGTGAAGTAGAGCTCAAGGATAGGTGTGTTTGAAACAAAACCTAATGGAAAAATGTGAGGATGTTGCTCTGAAGGGAAAGATTACAATGAATTATTATAACATAAGGTTTAGGTGAAGTCTTCTGGGATCTGGTAGTTCTTTATACCAGGAACATAATCAACAACACTCAGACAGATCTTACTGAGAAGGTCTTTCCTTGGTTCTAAAGCAAACCTTCCTCCCCCAGCCCTGCCTTTAATGAACAAGGGCTGCTACTGCCTCCCCAGTCCTGATTAATGGCCCCTCTTGGAGAGAATTCTAACTAGTCACTTTCAAATGTCAACCCTATGGATATATGGGTCTTTGGCTTGGGTTTGTAGGTTGAATGTACTTGTTTCTTGTCTTTTCACTGTTTTTATGTCTACTGTCAACTTGTTCAGGTACCTCTGACCTCACTCCATTGCATTTCAAATGGAGACACCAGAGTGAGAATCTTTCAGAATCAACTTTCCTTTACCTGAACACCAGACAGAACAGTTCACATACATTGCAAGCAGTCTGGAGTTTCTCTCAAGAAGGTCATTGTCCACTGCTACCAGCAAAAATAGAAAAGCCCCTGAAATGAATCCTATATGGCTCCACCAATATTACCTGTAAGACTAGCCCCATTCTGGCTTAGACACAGATAAGAAAAACAACAGTCTTTTACCTGATAGTCAGTAAGGTCCTCATGTGCCATGAAGCCCCCTGATACTGTGTCTACTGGGATCTCACAGTATTGTAGAGTCAGAAGGGAACTGTATGAAATCATTTTCTATTACTAACCCTCAACTCCTTTCTCACTTGAGCAGCCCAGCAGACCCTTTCTTGCTCTTCATCTCAGGTTCATAAGCTGTGGGAACACAAAATGTCCTTTGGACATACATAGCCCAATGCCTAAGCAGCAAATAGGGACATGGGAGCCCAGAGATGACAAATGTCTTGTCCAAAGCTAGTTAACCACAGAGACAGGGCTACACATGTATTTTTGAAGATCATAGAAGAGCTTCCAAGAGGCTTCCCCTTTCAACATTTCAGAAAAATGGATTTTGTTTTCAAATTTTGGTTTGAATCAAAATCTATTATCTCATGCGAGATAAACTTCTACAAATCTCTTTTTTATTCCGGGAAAAACATTGTCATTACACAAATTATTTTCTCATTTTGCATGGCGTGGTAAAGAATCATGTTGTCAAGTCGTGAAAGTAGCTGATTAAAAAATGGAGGCCATTGTTCATATTTCCAAAGTATACCTCTGTTGGTATATTTACATCTTGGGTTACTGAAGTTTCCTCCTTTAGAAATACAATCCCAAATTACTAACAGAGCAGGTCTGGTGTTTGTGAGAACAGAAGGGTTTTTCCTTTGATGCATCTCTGAGCAGTTTCACACAACTGAACACGTGGAAATCAAAACCTCTTAACTGACTGAATACTTTTCCTGGTAATGTAGATAAACAGTTGGTTGACCCGTACTACCAATCTCTCTCTTTTCTTTTGCTTTTATTGTTTCTGTTTTCCATCAGCTCTTCTCAGTGAATACTGCCTCCTTGAAAAACAGACACTTGGGTAACTCAGCTCAGGAAAACTTACAAAATATCAGATACTAAGAAGCCTATATCCAAGGCTTTCCAAGGAAACCCAGAAGATCAAATTGCCAGTACCATGTTTCTACCTGCTGGGTCCTGCTGTGAAGCTCAGGAGAAGGCTGATGTTTTTGTAGAACCTCTAACCAGTGTGATAACTCAGGCTGGATCAAGATGTTTGCACAGGGAACTAAGCTCATAGTAATTCCCCCAGGTAAGTAACCTTGTTTTATTTCAATCCTGTGAGTGAAAAATTGATAGATATTTTTAAGAAAAAATAATATAGGATCCCCTCCACATGTGGACAGCAATTTTGCAGTTACTTGTCACTCTAGTGGAAAGAAAACTACTTTGTAAATGGTTTATTTACTTCCCTGCTTGCAAACAGATTATATGTCTACTTTTAGAAAATACACACACAGTAAAATATATTCAGGATTGAAATTAAAATTATTTTGAGAACTGCGTCTACAAAGCTTTGGTGTGAGTTATTGTTTCAACATGTTTTTCTTGTAGACAGTCTCTTAAGTGAGAAATAATTTAGTCTACTACATCCAGTATTAGTAGTGTTCCTTTCTTAATGGGTAGTGCTTCTTTCTCTAGTAACCTGCAAAATATATGATTTCTTTGATCTTTTTTAAACAGAAGTACAGGGATGCCTGGGTGGCTCAGTGGGTTAAAGCCTCTGCCTTCGGCTCAGGTCATGATCCCAGGGTCCTGGGATCGAGCCCTGCATTGGGGTCTCTGCCTAACAGGGAGCCTGCTTCCTCCCTCTCTCTCTGCCTGCCTCTCTGCCTACTTGTGATCTCTGCCTATCAAATAAATAAATAAAATCTTTAAAAAAAAATAAACAGAAGTGCAAAAAAATTAACAGAATAAATGACTATAAAACATCAATAAATCTCATTTATTCTTATTACTGTAACATCTTAGAGGGGAGGGTGAGACTGGTCAAAATGTGTGCTATTATGGCTCTTGTGATATTGCCTAAAGATGGTCCAGTTTAATGGAATTTTTGAGCTCAGTAAACCATTTCAGCTCCAGAACCCATAAAAAGAATCTGTCTTCATGCTTTTACATTTTCGTTTGTTCATTTAGTGTCTCAGCAAATGTTTATTGAAGACAGTTTCTGTACTGGATGCTAGAGATAAAAGGATGAACAAGACACAATCTCATCACTCAAAAAGTTTCCATCTAAAGGACAACAATTTTAGATTGTGGCTTCATTGGGCCCCACGTTTTTTGGCTTGTGACTACCAGAGACACAGAACATCTTAGATTCATCAGCTCTTTTGCTTTCTTAATTTATGTAATAGCTACTGGTTATAAAATTCATATACTTGGGGCACCCAGTTGGCTCAGTAGCTTAAGCATCTGCCTTCGAGCTGAAGGTCATGATTTCAGGTTCCTCAGATGAGCCTTGCATCAGGCTCTCTACTCAGCAGGGAGCCTGCTTCTCCCTCTGTCTCTGCTCCTACCCCCAGCTCATGGTTTCTCTCAAGTAAATAAATAAAAATCTTCTAAAAAATAAAACAAAGTTGTATTTTTATTGGAAGAATTTGATAAAAAAAAAAAGACCTGAAACCATTCCTGCAAAGGGAACAATAATATTAGCTAAGATTTATTAAGGGCCAGATACCATGCTGACTGGTCTAGTGCACTATCTCATTCCTCCACAGCCCTATACAGAAAATCCTCTTTTTCCAGTTTTGCAGTGTGGAAACAGAGGCTTAGAGATGTTCAGTTATTTTACCTAAAGTCACATGACTAGTTATTATGGCAAAGAGTGGAATCCGAGAGAAACTTGTCCATTCCAAAAAAGTGTGGTCTAGGCCATAATGTGATATTAGAAACACTAAGCCATATTTTTAAAAGATTTTAATTTATTTATTTATTAACGAACTATGTGAGACTGGACTCCAAGAAACAGACTGAGGGTTTTAGAGGAGAGGGAAAGAGGGGGTGGGCTAGCCTGGTGGTGGGTATTAAAGAGGGCACACATTGCATGGAGTACTGGGTGTTATATGTAAACAATGAATCATGGAACACTACAACAAAAATTAAGGATGTACTGTATAGTGACTAATATAATATAAAAATAATAAAAAAACTGAAAAAAATATTTATTTCTTAGAGAGAGAGGGAAAGTGCACATGGGGAGAGGAGCAGAAGGGGAGGGGGAGTTGTCCTACATGCAGAACTCAGTTGCATAACTCAGAGCTGTCTTTGCAAGTCCTCCAGGACAGCTGCAGAGAGACCAAAACAAACAGGATCTTCCTCTTGATAGGGCAACTCAGATTTTTAAATCAATTCCCTGGAAACTGTTAGGGTAATTTCAAGCTCAAAGGAGCTTCAGGAATAACTAGGTTAAGAAATCATAATTATAATTTCAGACTCTGTAACAACCTATCAGGTCTAGTGTCAGTGGGAATTAGATTCTGGAAAGAATTTATTTTACAATTAAACCAGATATCCACCCCTTAATATATAGAAATAAAATAATCCTGTAAAAATACTGAACACTCACTTATTAAATACTCAAATACATTATTTCTATTCTTTTTTGAAAATTAAAGAAATATTAACTGTAAATTACACTCTAGTAAAAGAAGTGAAATCAGAGAAGAAAACCCTTTAAGGGAAGATATTAGAACTTTCAGGAAAATGGTGAGAAAAGGTAAAATCATACTCTCCAACCCCTGTGAATGAGGGAAAGACGGAAAGATGGAATCAAGATGACCCTGGTGAACACCAAGTTCATGGTGTCAGGGCCACAGAATCAAGCCCCATGTCAAGCAGCAGGTCAAGCCCCATGATGGGCTCCATGCTCAGCAGGGAGTCTACTTATCTCCCTCTCTCTCTCCCTCTGAGCCTGCCTCTGCAGTATACTCTCTCTCTGTCTCTAACATAAGTAAATCAATCTTTAAAAATTTTTTTAAATGATGAGAATGTAATAAGCATTGTCTCAAGTATTGTTACCTTGAATATAAAGTACTCTCTCATTTTTCAGTGGAAATATCCAGACATAAAGGGAAAAGGGAGGATGTTTTGCAATTTGAATATATAAACTTAAAATGATATGGATAAAAGCCAAATACTCACTTGTATATTTAATATCTTAATCATCTAGTTATATTTAGAAAGTTAAAAATTGCATCAATTCAAACATCAATTGAGAAACTGCTTTTTTCCCCCTCAATTTTATTCATTTCAGACACTTCACACGCATCTAAAACATATACTTTAGAGCAAATTTCTTAGTCGTCCCAGGGTCTGAGTGTCTATTTTGGGATCCCCTTATGATGACGTCAATGGATAGTTTTTCTGAAGAGAAAATTACCCACTTACAAAATTAAAAAAAAATTTTGTATTCCCTCTGGTATTCCATATTTTTCAATGTAAGCATAACATGTAGAGATTTTTGTTCCAGGTAATATTTACCAAATCCATATTAAACTTCTTTACTGCCTTTACCAGCTCTACCTCTAAAACCAACGTTGCGTTTATTTCAGGTTGATACCTTGTCCAAGTAGTATTGTTTGATCAAATAGAGCATTAGAAGAGCCTCTTTAATATGAGAGGCTGAAACCTAAGGCAACCCCTGTGTTGTGAGGGATAATATTGGAAATGAAAGCTTCACCTTATGCTCTGGCATTTCAATGTGTTTGATTCTACATGCTTTGGTCTGTATCTCAGCAGGATTTGCAAACATCTCCCGGTTTTCATGTCATCTTTGAGGTAAACCTTACCAAATGGCCAAGCTCTGGGGCAGAAAAAGAAACAAGCTCTAGAGCACAAACTATTCCTCATTTATTTATACTGCCTATTTCCAAAATCTATTTGAGAAGACTTAAAATACACAAATAGCGTTCTGCCATGAACTAAAAATAGAAGATCCAAAGCACTGAAGAAAGTAGAAGAAAAAAGGCCTGTGGTTATCTACCAAGAAACACAGGGTCAAATTTTAGGATCAAAGGTAGGGAAAACTGTGATGAAGTACATACTTTATATCACCTGTGAAAATGAAGCACACTGACTTTTCACATTTGTTATGTTTTTCCCACCATAAAATGAGAAAAAGACTTTAATGTACAAGTCGCTTAGGAGGAATGTGAACTGAGAGTGGGCATTGCCTTCCACATCCACTTTATAAAATGGAAGAAATGGTCTTAAGAAAAGCACATTTCATGCTCCCACTGCATCGTTACTTTGGGCACCACGATATTTAATGTCATTCACAGATGGTGACCTTCAGCAGACCTGGTCAGACACCAACAAGTTTGGCTTTCATGCTCATATTTATTAGAAAAAAGTTTAAACATTTTAAATACAGTTAGAATTTTAAATAAAGTTAGAAATGTCATAAATTTGAAATTCGTAGTCAAATATGAATTAGCTTTAATTATTGAATAAAAGAAAAATAACAGAAAAATAAAGAACAATTAAATCAACACCAATATGTAGGTTTGAAATATCACATTTGCACTTGGAAATGTAGTTGACATTTGGTAAATTTATATAGGATTCACAATATCATATCTTAATATACATAACCAGCAACTTAACTCCAATGTATTTTGTGATTATGCCAATGAATATATATAAATATATTGGACAGGTTTATTTATTTGGAATCTGTTTTCTAATTTATGATTCATAAAATGATTTTGGCCATAAAAATCACTGTTAATAAGCTTAAAAAGAATGTTGAAGGAAAAACTAGGTACTATAATACCCAAAATATAGGCACTAACCATATTTAATCAAGTACACTATTTTAATGCTCAGCTAATATTCAATTGAGAAAATTATGGGAGTTCAAGATTCATTTCATGCTGAAAAGAATAAAACATCAAGAGTCTAGCTAAAGTAAAGGGACAGGAGGTAAAACCAATGTGTTACCAGCCAGAAACTTTTCAAATTCATCAATTTATTTTCAGTTTCTTTACTATAACAAATCAGAAGTATTCCTACAAAAAAACACACAAAGTTTCTAAGATGAAAATTAGATTCCATAAATCTTGACTAGAGATTAAAATTATGTAAATATCATGTATAATTGAAAAATTAATCTTCTTTATCTAACATGCTTTTAAAATTAAAAACAAAGTATATCATTGGAGAAATATACAGTGTCTTAATATTATAATCAAAATAGTATTTGCACTACAGCAAGATGTATAAACATAAGTATATTCTGGCTTCATTCTATTTATATCATGAATAAAAGCTCATTGTTTGTTACTCATTTAGTATAAAAATAGGAGCTATGATACACAGAGAGAAATTCTCAAGAATTTTTTTCCAAAAAAAAAAAAAAAGAGTACTACAAACTGCCCAGAAGAGATTTTTTTTCCTTTTCTTCTCAAATGAAAAATCCAATTGTTCTTTTCTAAAGAAATTGCCCATTGTATTAATAAACTAACTCCAAACTAGCCCAAAGAGAATATCAGTAAAACACTTGCATGATGGAAATACATTTTATTTTTTTTAAGATTTTATTTATTTATTTGACAGACAGAGATCACAAGTAGGCAGAGAGGCAGGCAGAGAGAGGAGGAAGCAGGCTCCCTGCAGAGCAGAGAGCCCGATGCGGGGCTTGATCCCAGAACTCTGGGATCATGACCTGAGCTGAAGGCAGAGGCTTTAACCCACTGAGTCACCCAGGCGCCCCGGAAATACATTTTAAAAGGATTCTAACATTTATAATTTTAATCACTAACAGTAAATGTATAATCAAGTAACATACCAGTGTTCGAGTGACATGCCCTTTAAAACCAATGATGTTTTGCCATATATTTTGACATTATGTCTGTAAGAAACTCTGGAACCATACTTCTAACATTACACCAGATATATATATATATATCTATAGATAGATACATATATCTATCTATCTATAGATATATATATATATAATCTACCTATCTATCTATATACTTTATTCAGCAGGTGAAATCACAGATACTGTGGGGTTCTAGAAACCAGTCAGCAGCTTTCTAGAGCAGATTCGACTTTAAAGAGAGACTCTGAGAGTCAAAATATGGTGTCTTCTTAGTCATATATAAATGTCAAATGGAATTCCAGTACAAAAGGTGCTTCCAGTGAACATTTTCCAAGCAATACAAAATCCTGATAAGTGCATTAGTTAATACAAAAGCATTTCTGGAAAAAAAAGAGTTTTCTAATAGCAGTTTTGGAAATACCACTGGAAATGCCCCATTGCTTCTAAATTCAAGGCATTGTAAATATTTGAGAGGTGCAGTTTTAATCATTTAAAATCCTGGATCCTAAAATCACTTAAAATCCTGGAGTTGTTCAGAATGAAGACTGAGATGTTTTACAAAATCAGGAATCAAATAGGAGACCTCCATTACTTCAAAAGTGGGTTTGGCCCTAAAAGACTCTGAATCTCACAAAACAGAGGGTTGCTGGGGGGAGGTGGGTAGGGAGAGGGTGGTGGGATTATGGACATTGGGGAGGGTATGTGCTATGGTGAGTGCTGTGAAGTGTGTAAACCCGGTGATTCACAGACCTGTACCCCTGGGGCTAATAATACATTATATGTTAATAAAAATAATTTTTTTAAAAGTAGGTTTGGGATCCATATTTGAAGTTTTAAAGATCAACTGGATAGATTTTCAAGGACACGTGGAAGTGGAGTCTCATTCAAAATGTGTGTATTGTTCCAAAAAAACCCTCACATTTTAATCCAGACTCCACCACTTTATAGTTGTGACTTTGAGCAAGTTACACGGTTTCTTGTAACGCTTTTCACACTGAAAATAAGAACAATCAGTACCTCATAAACCACCGTGGATGAAAGGCCTGACATAAGTACTAATTCTGTGGCGAATTTCCTCATTTCACTGTGCTAGGTGCTTCTAAACCACACAATGTTTATGTTACTCTAATAATGTTTTAATTGTTATTCCACTTCCCCACAGATAGAAGCCTTAATGTAGACATTTCCCCCAAGCCCACAATTTTTCTACCTTCAGTTACGGAGAGAGAACTCCATAAGGCTGGAACATATCTTTGTCTTCTTGAGGATTTTTTCCCGGATGTTATCAAGATAGATTGGAGAGAAAAGGATGATGAAACAATTCTGAAATCGCAGCAGGGAGACACCGTGAAGACTAACGACACATACATAAAATTCAGCTGGCTGACCGTGACTGGAGCGTCAATGGATAAAGAACACAAATGTATCGTCAAACACGAGTGGAATAAAGGAGGAGTTGATCAAGAGATTCTATTTCCTCCACAGAAAAAAGGTATGTACATGTATATATGAATGCAACCTTCCAGTACCCTTTTTTGCCCCAAAGGAAATAGTCTACATTTTTTGTCAAATATTAATGAAAAGAAACAAATAGAAACTTTTTATTGATGTTGCAACCTTTAATGTAGGATATAAATGTCCTGCTCTTTCTTTTAGAAATTATTTTCTAAAAGAAATTCAGTCCTTTAGAATTGAAGTAGAATGGGCTTTGGGACATACAGAAAAAAAGAAGACAAATTCACTTAGTCTTTCTTGCCTCAGTTTCATCATCTGAAAATAAGGTCACAGTGATGTCTTTGGAGGGTCATTGTATGAATTAATTGAAATAATACATATGGAAGCCCCTAGCAATCTTGCAAACCATAAATGCTCAAGAGAGAACCACACTTGATCATGAAATAAGAACAACTATTCATCTTTCAAGAATGTTCTACTCAGCAGCCAGAGTTCTTTTCACTTCAATCTTGCTCTACTCAAAGGATTACCCACAAACAATGAGTTATAAGCTGCAAAATGTTTGAGCCAGATCACAACTCAACAAAAGTAATTTGGCAGCTGAGGTTTTAGTATGGTCTTGGGTTTTTCATATTTGAATTTATATTCCACTCTAAGGGGAGATTTGGTAAGTAAAGATGAGCTGAGGCTACCATGTACAAACATTCTCCCTTTCTACACAATGAATGTATTTCTTACCATTGGTAAAGCTGCTCTGCAAACATTCTTGCAGTCCTGGTGTGTGCCAGGCCTGGGAAGATGTAGGATGAACTACTGCTCCAAAGAGGATCACTACAGGAGCTCTCTTTATACTTGTCTAATCACTTAGGGTCACTCACGATGCAGACAAGGTTCCCAAATTAACCTCATTGGTGATGACGCTGGTCATATTCAGACATTGTGGGTGGATGACTGAATGTTCTCTGGACCTGCTGTGATCCAGGAACTCACTAGACTCAGAACTCAAGTTCTGGCTGGCATTAACATCACAGACCAAGGCCCTACAGAGCCCATAAGAAGGAACTAGTTTATACTTTCCCTGTGGTTCACAAGTGCTTGGGAGCTGCAGACAACAAACACATAACGAGACACGCAAAGACCTTTGCAGTATACCACTCTGAATTGCTGAAGTAAATCTTTATCTTCTTGAATCCTTAGTTCCTCCAGTGATCAATTTAGAGTCAAACACTTACTTACCTTTCCTTTCTCCTGGAATGTGATGAAGACAATGTGCAGTAATGCCAGTGAAAATACTTGGTTTTGAAAACATGAGATGAATATGTTTATTTATTTGTTTTATATTTTCTTTTTTTATTTTCCTAATAGCTGGTGTAAAATTATAAACAACCCTAATTTCTTATTCCTACAGCTAAGAAACAGAGAGGAAGCAAATGAGCAAAACACAAGTTTAATGTAATCACTGGGCTGAAATATTTTAAGTATTGATTTTTATAGTGATAGAAGTAAAAATATACTATGGTACATTCTATGATGATCATTTTAGAAAAGGGAGAATTTCTTATTCATGGTGTTTTACCTGAGAATTAAGTTCTGAAAGGACTGTCTCCCAAGATCTTCTCATAGCAACAAAGCTATTGAGGGCATTTCTGTTAATGTTTTTCTATAGCAAATTTCTAATGCTGTTTCTTGTAAGGTTTTTGTTTGTTTGTTTGTTCTTTTTGTTTTTGATGAAAGTTAATAATACATAGAACATGGAAGTCGAAATTCACAAAGTGATTTTGAAGAGATAAAACTAATCTAGTCCAAGTTTTCAACAAATCTGATTGAAAAAGAAAATCTAGGACATACCCAGAGATTATAATTTGAGAGATTATTACCTTAATGTTTTTCAACCAATCAATTCATGGTGATTAGAGATTTTTACTTCTCTTTTAATGAGTAAAGCCCCTGTATGGAAAAGAAAGGGAATTTTAAGACACTAAAGTCAGTTCTTGAGAATATTTTAACACCTAAACATGATTATATACACTTTTTTATTCTTGAGATTTACTCCAAAGCCTACAGCTCAGATTTATTTTTTAAGAGCATACCGAAATAAGATTCTGTGAAGTGAATAATTTGCATAACAGAACTATACCTGTATGGACAAGAACAAATCAAGCAGAGAAAGAATAAACCAAAACATGTTGGGACTTTCTTCCTCCATCCAACAGTCAATGATCTTTTTAAGGATTTTTGTCTTTGTATGCATGTTGGGTTTTGTTTTTGTTGGGGTTTTGTTTTGTTTTGTTTTACACTGTGAAGAAATACAACCCTCACCTCAGTTTTATATATTCAGAAAACTATGATTCTTACTTGGCCAATCTTTTAATCCCTGGAAAGAAGCACACTGAAATACTAAGCTTCTAAAATCAAAAGGTCATTTGTTAAGAGTAATTAAGATACTGGAAGGGATGATGTCTTAGAGTCCACAATGGTGGACTATTATATAATATCGAATATTATCGATTTCTATGGATTGTTTTACAAGGTAGTTTCCACATGTTCTAGCTCATCTAAATCCTCATAATGGTTCTTTGAGTGCTGGCTCTGCCAATCACTGATATGACTCCCAGTGAGTTATTTAGACTTTCTAAACCTCACTTCTTCATGGTAAACATGAATACAGTTCATGTCAGTGTCACTAGGGAATCAGATGTCCTAATACATGTGAACATTTCACATGGTGCCTGGCAGAGTAATAATCACTCAATAGGTATTGACTTTCATTCGTATTGTTGTCATGTTGACAAATACCACCCACCACTCCAGAAAAGAATGTGTGGGAGTTGGGAATATTGGGAACATGCATAATTTGGAAAGGTAGGGTCTCTTTCTTTTGCTTAGAAGGAGAATTTACCTAAACCAGACTCCTCCCAAAATGTAAGATTCTGCTGTGGAATTTATTTGGGTATCAACCTGGCTAGTCTAGCATAAGGCATTTCATGTTAGCAATGGGTGCTAAGGACTGTAGAGAAGCCACTGTTTCTGGTTATTTTTCCATTCAACCAATATTTATAGAACACCTACTGTGCAGCAGGCTCTGTGTAAGGAGCTAGGAGCACTTAGATAGTCTTAGACATTACCCTCCAGTTGAGGAAAGAAAAAGATGTATCATTCATGAACTTCAACATCTTCATGTGCAGAAATGCAATATATGAATTGACTTACTGATTTACACAGACTCAGAACAATCATTTCTGGAATTGTGGCACTCATATTGGTAATAGCTCTCTCCTCTTGGTTGACAAATTCTATCTATCATCTATCTATCTATCTATCTATCTATCTATCCATCCATCCATATATCAATAACACAGACACCAGTCAAATAATATACATGAACAATTGAATAATACTTGCTCTCATTTCTTTTAGAGCTCACTGCTATTAATTCTACAAAAGCTTCTCTAAGATATAAAGATGGTAAGTTTTTGTCTATGTTTGCCTTTATGTTATGCCATAGCATTTTTTCCTCCTGATCAACTTAGCATCTGGCCTTAGGTGGAAACCTCAGAATAGCTGGTGATATTTTAAGTCAATCCATCATTTCTCAGGAGTGTTTTTCACAGAGTAAGTGCTTGTTTGGGTGTGAAAGAACTATAAATTAGGGGTACAGTGATTGCTCTGAATTCTTTCAACAATGGACTTGACTCATTTCTGTGACTTTTATTTCTACTGACTGAGGAAAACATGATATCAAGTTGCTTCTAGATATTTTTATGTCTTTGTTCTTGCTGGTGGTTAATAACATGAACTGACACCGAGAGGTTTTTGTACAAAAGGCATAATGCTGCACTGTGAGTGCATTTTGTTTAATTCTCTTAATACTCACAGCGAAGGATAATATTCCTATTTTACACATGAAGGCAATGACTTAAAATTAATTAAGTCCCTTACACCATGACACACAGCGAGATTAGAGGCTTCAACCCAGACCTTCTGAAATAACAATTCATACATCTTACTCAGTTTTCTATTCTTCTACGTTGTTGTCATAAAACAAGATATCCCAAAGTCAAGGCCCTGAGACAGGTGTACACATGGGGAGGGGTTGTGAGTACGGGGATTCAAATGCCACAGACTGGACATTAACCCCAGTCTTTTTATTATTAGCTCCATGAATATGGGTACAGTAGTTACACTTTCTGGCAAGCAGGAATAACACAAATAACACCTCATCAGTTACTGAAGACATAATGTGATATATGTGGAATGTCTAAATAGTTTATTTTATTTAGCTGACACATAAGCACTAGTTTCTCACCCTTTCTTCCAACATATATAACAAGAGAGTACAAGGAACATTGCTCTAGCTTTGCTGATCTGCCTTCCATGTCCAATATCAAGAGGCCTCTATACCTTAGCTAACATATTACTTGACCAAGGACACTTTGTCAAGGAATAATGAGTACAGCATCACTGGATGTCGTTTTCCACACCAAGGGCTAATGATTTTGGAATTCTGACTCAATGGAGATAAATACATAAACGAAATTTCCATGTGAACAGACTCAGCCTAATGGTTCATTGAATAGCCAATCTGACACACCAACATTGGCATTAATTATTTTTTGATATCTTGTATTTCCTGCAAAACCTCAAAGGATAACAAATGCAATTATCCTATAACATGTTAACTGCAATAAATATATTCAGGGAGTGAGTTTGATCTCCTAAAGTTGCAGAGAATTTGGATTCGCTTCTTTCTTCCACTTTATTTTATTTTATTATTTTTTAAGTTTTTATTTAAATTCCAGTTAGTTAACATACTAATTATAATATTAGTTTCAGGTATACAGTATGGTGATTTAACACTTATACACATCACCCAGAGCTTATCACAACTAATGCCCTCTTTAATAAAACCTCCCCCCTACCCTACCTTGAACACAACAAAATTTCCATTGATTGTACCCTTGATAGGAATCTTAGCAATGCACAAGATATATTGGCTAAGATGCTTCTAAATCAACAATTCATCTTTATATTTATGCTTAACTCTTTGTAACTGAGAGTATTTATTACTCTGGAAGTACAGAAATACAAAGTAGGTAAGAATGTGTTCATCAACATTATGTCACTAGGATTAAAACCTTGCTGGTGGTATTTATTAATCATATGACATCAGGCAAATTATTCTCTGTCCTCAATTGATTTGTAAAATGGCAATGAAAATAATAATCTCCTAGGTTATTGAAAAATTAAGAAAGATTAAATTTTTGCACACAAACTTTTCAAATTAAATGTCTGCCATTTGGTTAATGATTAAAGCATATTAGTTATATTATTACTTACAGACCTGGTAGGGGTGAAGAAATGGTAAAAGCTATTTTAACCAATGCTTTTATAGACTGACTCATTCATCTAAGACATAGCCTTACTTTTTAATACTTTAGAATGTTCTAAGTGAATTTCCCAGAGGTTATTGATTGACTTGACCTGCAAGCTGGATTTTGAGTTATTTTGTGATGGTGGTGGGGATAGTGTTAGTGGTGTAGATGTTTATTGTCAGGTTGTAATGGTCTAGGGGCTTCCTTTCCACTTAGATCATCAGAAATGTATAATGTGACCTGTCTCCCATTAATAAGCCTTAGCCTTTCAAAAGAAAGAAGGTGAAAATAATAAATGACTTGTTTTAGATACTTTGCAGCTGCAGCTCAAGACCACCTCTGCCTACTACACTTACCTTCTACTGCTCTTCAAGAGCCTGATCTACTCTGTCATCGTGGCCATCTGTCTGCCTGGGAGACCAGCATTCTGTGGCAATGGGAAGAGTTCCTAACACATGGTGGCATAAGAGTCTACTTTTCTCCAATGGCAATTGTCGCCAAAAGTATCTGTTGTGGATCTAATGGGGCTTTCTTTCTGAGACTATTATATTTCAGTTCAAATGTGTCTTTTTCTATTGTGTCATTACTCCAGAACAGGTCTACACACCACTGGGCAAACAGAAACTTTCACTTTGCAGCTAGAACAAATTCTGCCATGACTCTGGGGCGGGGCCAGGGGGCATCCACAGGGGTGTCAGCACTGCTCTCTCCTTAATGTCCACCAGCTCCTCAGCCACCCAGTCCCAGAGCCTCTGAGCACAGCCAACACAGCTTCAGCTGCATCTCCTGGGGCTCTTTAACCAGATAACTTCTTCAAAGCCATTTATTCTAACATCTGGACTGCCATCACTGCTGCCCGAGTTTTGTACTGCTTTACATAATAGGCACAATAAAAACAATCAAAGGTCTACTTTGGCCTCTGTGTTCTTTCATTTGGTGCAATGTAACTGAGAGTTCAAATTCAACAGTGGTTGTTATATTGGTCATTTCCTCATTTCTAATTCTTTGTCTGAGATAGTCCTTATGAAGTCTTCTTTGGGGCACCAGCCCCAGGAGAGCCACAGCCAGTGAAGGTGCCAGGCTGTTTCTCCTTCAAAGGTCAGCAAATTCAGATTCATTTGGTTGAAGACACTCTGGTGGTGACAGTATAACCTGCCCCATGGATAGTGGGTGTGTTCAGACCTATCCCTATGTGTCAGGAACACCATGTTTCCTGACCTCACAAGAACCCCATAAGAGTTCCACTAACACCAGAAATGTAGGGTGGTGGCATAGTTAAGTGCTTGAATTCTGAATCCCAAGTGCTTGAGTCTATAACTGTATGAACTCTCTGTGCCGTAAGTTTATCATTTGTAAAATAAAGATACAATGTGCCCATCTCCTGGAGTTGTGTAGATGAGATAATTTAATTTTACTGGGTACATGTGAGTCCTCAACAGTATTAACATCTACTGTTGACAGCTCTACTTTAGAAATAATAGATAACACACCTGCTCTCTCTCTCTCTCTCTCACACACACACATTCCCTCAAGCTATGCAGTAAGGTTTACATGCAATACCATAGCACCATTTACAACAGCCCCAAATTAAGTCCAACACCTAAGAAGAAACTAAGAAAATAAAATAAATGATGTTGTATGATGGACTAGTATGCATCTACACAAAAATGTAGATTGTTGAAGAAATGTAAAATTAATCAGAAAGTAATGTTGAGGTGGCAGTGGCTGGCTCAGCGGAAAGAGCAAGGGACTCGATCTCAGGTTGTAAGCTGGTGCCCCACGGTGGGTATAGAGATTACATGAATAAATAAAAATATTTTTTAAAGAAGGTATTGTTGAAAAAATATGCATGGCAGGATCCTACTAAAATTTTTAGATTATACATTTACATGGTTCCAAAATCAAAACACTCTAAAAATTGAAACACAAAATCTTATTCCAACCACTGTCTCTACCTGCTCACCGCTTACAGGTCACATTTTTGTTTCTTGCCCAACCTTTCAGTTTTTATTTAGGCAAATATGAATTTAGTTGTAAAAAATAAATAAATACATATAGATCTAATTTTCTTCCTTCTAACGCATAAGTAGTAATGACACATTATTCTGCACTTCTCGCTTATACATCCTTGTGTTCTTTTTATGTCAACAAAGAAGAACACTTAGAAAGTTGCACAGTATTTCATTGCTGACTCTACCTTATAAGAGATATTATAAGACCAGTTCCTCGTGGTAGACCAGTGAATTATTTCCAGTCTTTTATAATTATAAAATATGCTGAAATATAATATTATTTTATATCACTTCAGATGTGGTTACTGGTCATTTTAGCAGGTGTTGCCAACTTACCCCACTAGAGTTAGCACCATTGTACACTTCTGTCATGATGTAGGTGAGTATCAGGACAGTGCTGTCAAACACCACAATTTTGCTAACCTGACAAGTGAAAAATAGTCTCTCATCATGGTCTTCATTTGCTTTTATCTGATGAGGATAACCATCTTTTCATGTATTGAGTCCATTTCTATTTATTTTGTGTGTGTGTGTGCAAATATTTGTCCAGTGGTTTGCCCATGATTTCTATGAGTAAAAACACTAACAAGTATGGCACTCACTTATATATGTGTGTGTATTTCTATAAATATGGGTATAAAAATGTTCAATGCATGGTTGGTGGGTGAAGAAATAAATGATATTTTTCTCCTTATCTAATGAATCCTTTTAAAGTAGAAGTTTTTATATTTTAGCATAAAACAGTATCTTATTTAAAATTCAAAAAATAAAATTCAACAGTATCTTATTAAAATTCTTATTTACAATCAGCCTTAGTTTCTATGAAACAGGTGCTTTTGGAAACCAAGTAGAGGTTTCCATGTGAAAACAACATAAGACCCACCAGATACAAGAAAGTGGAAATTTAATTTTGTTCTACTCCTTGATTCTCAAGAATGTGATCAGACTTTACGACAAATGCCTGGCCTCTACTTAGAGATCTGAACTTGTTTCTGCATATGGAAAGCACAGAGACACAGAGGGGAAACTAACAAATGACCTACAGCTCTGTGGGCTGATGTCACTGCTGGGGCTCCTAGGCAGTGTCTCCTGTGGCTTCCAACACCTTAGCACCTTCCTTCCCCAAATGGACCTGGGCTGCCCTGGACTGAGAGGTGCAGAGAGGGGGAGGGTGGTGGTGCTGGAGATCGTGTGGGTGGCGATGGTGTTCCGTTTTCTCAGCCTTGTTTCATCTATGTGCTCTGTCAAATGTGGTTGATTCATGGAAAATGCTCAAAGTCAAACCGGCTCCTGCTGGTTGGGGCTCTGCAAGCTTTGGCTTCAGTGTTGAAAGATAAAATAAGGGCAGTTAAACCACAGCCAACTAGTTCACTTCCTGAAGGCCACAGCTAATTAAAAGAACACATCCATCTGCACACGCATGCTCCTGCTGTTAAACATACTCTCAGGCTGTGGGTGAGGGTCCCCTATTTTATACTGAGTTCATTCCAAGTAGCTGCTATGCGAGTTGGGATTGTATGACCAGGACTGTTGAGATGCTGCTCCCTCAGTCCACTCCGATGACACTGTTCTGAAGGAAAGAGCATGCACACTCCTTGTAGCACTAAGTGATTTCCCACATTCCACCAGGATCTGCTCTTTTCTGTGGCAGGTGATTTACTGAGGCTTCTATTTTCAGTCTCATGTAGTCAGTGTAAGCAGGGTGACACGAGATCCTTGCCCATGAAACTACTAGCACAGGTAGACTGTAGTCAACACAACAGCAGGTCCTTCTTCCCTCACAAGAACACAGACATGGAGGCTCTGAGTTCACCTGTGTCATTGAATGTCATAGACTGAGTCATCTCTGTCCCTCTACAGGGACAAGTGACTGTAGAGTCAAACTTAATTAGAGCAAGGCTCCATAGAAGTCTTGCACATCAGAGAAACATGCTGGGGGTGGAGCGGAGGAGGGCTGTTCAGCAATGTGAGCACAAAGAGCAAGTATCCTCATCCTCACCCCATCCAAGCATGGAACAGAGAGGGTGCCCATTCCCTGGATCCAATCTGTCCAGTTTATGGCAAAGTATAATTCTATTGCTGAGATCATAACCCTAGGCTTTCATAGTCTGACCTGACAGCACATTCTCACCATAGACTTCACTCTAGGTCTGTGCTTGACAGCCAACTTCTGGGTGAGTCTGGGTTTCCAGGAGCATGGGCCCCATGCCCTAGGTTCTGTCTAGCATGTGTAGATGAGGGCACTTTCTCAGGGTAAAGTATACATTTCCATCTAGCTTAGTCATCATCTATGGGCCTGGTATGAATGTGGCTCCCTTCCTGAGACAGGACATTCTAACTGTGGCCACACCTCTGACTCCTGAGATTTGGGTCCCAAGGCCAAACCCCCACCTTTCTCCACCATAAGAAGCTCTTTCTGGTTAGGCCTCAGCCTCCCACACCTCTCCCGGTGGCACTTCTGTCATTTGGTCCATTCTCAGAACAAGCACAGATGGATGATCTGACCTGCACGAATCAATGGTCATTTTCCACCCAGATCAGCAGCAGTGCTGCTATGCACAAGTGCGTTTCTCTTGAAGGACACAATGAATTAAAGAAGGAAAATTAATTGACACACTACTTTCCTATGAAGCATTAAGATAAACATTCATGTTTGAAAGAAAGATTTCACAACATAATTTAGTTCATTTTACTTCAAATTAGTGAAGCACACTATTAAAAAAAAAGAGCCAAATACAAAGGGAAAATGATGGCAATGATTTCAAACTGTGGGTTCAAAATAAATCTCACACTATTTCAGAAGCAAACTTCTAAGAGAAAGATGCTATTTCATGATGAAAATAATACAAAATACCTTGTTACACTGTACATCTACTCACATTCCCTCCTGGCCCCTTTGTTAATTCCAAGGCTTCAGGCCAAATCTATGATACAAAACAAGAGAAGTAAAATGAATCATTTTGATATGTTAGAATTTATTACTTCTTAAAATTGTAAAAAGAGCACATTCTCATGAGGTTAAAAAAAAAACCCAAGGGAAATGAAGGATGTTAAAAAAGAAACACAAAAGAAATCTGAAACATGAAACAAAATTCTAATCTGGGTATCAAAATAAAAAGATATTTTCTTGGGGTGCCTCAGTGGCACATTCAGTTAAGCACCTGATTCTTGGTTTCAGCTCAGATCCTAGTCTCAGAATTTAGGGATGGAGCCCTCTCCTCAGGATCCTTGCTCAGTGCAGAGTCTGCTTAAAGATTTTCATTCCCTTTGCCCCACCCCTCCCTGCACTAGCATGCTTTCTCCCCCTAAAAATAAATAAATAAATCTTTTTTTTTTTAACTTGGAGGGGTTTTTTTTTTGAGAATTAATAAATTTTATTTATTTATTTTTTAAACATATATTTTTATCCCCAGGGGTACAGGTGTGTGAATCGCCAGGTTCACACATTTCACAGCACTCACCATAGCACATACCCTCCACAATGTCCAAAACCCCCCCCC